TATTTACATTTTCAAGGCATAAGATGTAAATTTCTACCCTGCAGCTTACATTTGTAAGATAAGTACAGAACTGGTAGGAAACTACTATAACACTTCAAATGTATATTAAATAAGGCTCTGAACTATCACATGATTGACATGGGTCATCGGGTCATGTGATCGTTTTAAAAGCTATTATTTTCTCTCCCCCATCCTCCCTGGCAACCTATTACTGAATGCATGTATCCCCTCTCAAGAGGCTGATAAGGCAAATAGTTTTTCATGCAACTTTGCACACTATCATGGTGGTGTTTAACTTGTGTAACAACCTGTACAATATGTACATGTGTAATTAGATTGCATGCTAGAAATGCATAGCTCTTATGGATATAAGCTCTTCACATGTCTTGCAGAATTGTTGAAATGAGCCTCTTTTAATCAGACTTCTGTGAATGTTCCGTATAGATCCTTCACTTCTGAAAGAAGCTAGCTAGAACATTGTATGACATATAGAGACTGTACGGATTCTTGAAAACCAGAACCAGGTTGTTGTGCAGTCTACATTATAATGTCCTCTAAATTTGGTGGCAGTTGGAACATCAGCAGTGATGAGTGCTCAAAAAGAATGACGTTTTTGCATGCAATCCCTAGGAGCCTGTGTAGGAGGTAAGAAGCCCATTTGGCTTTGAGTAAAACCTCATTCTGGCTCTATGACAAAGGGAGCTGTTGGACAAGTAGGCAAGCTGAGTGAAGAGGTTCAGTGGGAAGTGGGGTGGGGGGAGATGACCAGTGTGTTGACTGGAGTGCATCATAGGGACCATGTCATTCCAGTCTTGTTCCATCTATACTAGCTTCCAGTTCACTTCCAGGCTCATTTCAAGTTGCTGATATTGATCTTTAAAGCCCTGTACATGTGGGACCAACATTCCTTAAGGACCACTTTCTCCCATATGAGCCTACCTGTTCACTCTGGTCATCTTAAGAGGCCCTACTTTGGTTTCTCCCCTTTTTTGAGGCTATATGGGTGGTGACCCAAGGAGGGGCTTTCTTGGTCCTGTCACCGAAACTTTGGAATTAGTTCCCCATACAGATTAGTCTGTTTCCCCTTATTGGTGTCTTCTGCCAGCGGGGGAAGCATTTTTGTTTTGTTTGGCATATACCCGGTAATGGTTATTGTCCCCCCTCCCTTGTTCTTATGTTGTTCATTCATGTGTGTTTATTGAATTATTTTATAATTTAAAATGTTTTTAATTTTCCAAATGTTTTCACTAGTAGCAAAGCTTGTTGTAAAAAGAATACAACGAGCGCTAGCAAGATGTCAGTCTGGCCGTCCTCCTTGGCGAGTCTTTTAAAAGTGCTGCAAGCCTTGCCTCTGGGTTTTGTCACGCCTGGACTCAGCGCATCACCACCAAAGGGCAGCAGAGTTACCTCCCCATGTGAAGGGGGTACTCAGTGTCTTTTACCCGCCCACCTCCCTCCCTCGAGAGTGGTGGCCCTCTCTCCACAAAGCCCTGGCCGGAGGGGGAGAAAGAGAGCATGAGCTCAGCAGCTTCTCCGCGAGAAGCGATGGGGGGAGCAGGTGTGGGGAGAAGCCTTTGTGCCCAGCCCACTCTTTCTCAATGAATGGAGGTGGCCACTGACTGACAGGTAGCCCCGGAGCCTCCCCAAGGTGCTTGGCTGCCTCAGTGAGGCGAGAGGGGGAGTTCCTCCAGCCACCATGTCCACGTGCTTGGTAGCCCCTTGGCGGCTCCTGCCAGGGCTTCCTGCGCCTTTTGCCTGCAGTTTGTGCTCTGCCCACAGTGCTGCTTGCAGCTCCCGTGGCACTTTAGGTGCCCGCTCCTTCCTATTCCTCCTCCCGGCGTCTGGCTTCCCAGGAGCCACAGCTCCTTTCCTCTCGGCCAGACCCTCCCCGCTGCTACTGCTGCTGAAGGAAGGCGAGGGAAGCCTTTAAAAGGCGGCGGCCAGCTTTCTTTGCGGGGCCGCCTGCTGAGTTCTGTCCCTGAGAAAGCGCCGGCCTTGCAGCCAAGGGAGAGGGACTGTGAGGGGCAGCGAAGGTGAGTGCTTTCTGTGCTTGCCTCCACTCCCTAGGTCTACCTCCTTCTCCTGTGCAGCCTCTCGGCAGCCTTCCTGGCCGCCCCTCCTCTGTTTCCCTTTTGGGCCGTGGAGGGGTTGCTGCTCCCTCCAGGGGGGGAAAAAACCGAAGGAACGCCTGAGGAGGAAGCGTGGAGGAGAAAAGGGAATCCCCGTCGCTTATAATCAGCAGGGAGCTCTCCTGTACCACAACGGGCTGCCTCCTAAGCCTCCGCCTGGCGGAACATCCATCCTCTTCACTGGCTTCCTCCAGACTGAGGCTGAGACGCTGGCCACCGGCTCTGTGGGCGGGACTGAGGCAACGCAGCAAGGCAATGCAGCCAGAGGATTGGCAGACCTTCCTAGTGGCAGCTGAGTGAGCCAAATGCTGTGGGAGCGTGTGGAATGTTCACCCCAAAACAGCATTATATATAAAGAGAGATGTTTTATGTGCACCACCTTGGCAATAATGATCGGGTGGAAAGGTGGCATTAAAATGTTTTAAATAAATAGAAATAAAATAAATAATGCAACAATGGAATCATCAAGAAACTACAGAGAGAGATAAAATTTCTGGAAATTTTGAAACTACAGGGGGAAAGTTGAGGTTATTTTGAGGGGAGGGGAATACAGTATATACAATACTTATTTTCCTATCACACCAAACCTTATTTGATTGATTGATTGATAGCACATATAATGTATAACTTAGTCAGCATATAAAATAGTATTATTTGGCATATTTATGGAAGTTTGTAAGTATAAATGTCTTCATTTTTATAAGAAAAACTGCAAGTATACTGAACCCTTGAGAAAGAGTTGCAAACTGCTGCACCCTATGCTACCATAGCACATATATCTTTAATTGTTGCTATTTGATGGGTAGGGAAAAATAGGAAGATAGAAAACAAATTCTGCAGTAAGCAGAAGAAAGTATATTATTTGGACACAGAGTCACAATAAATAGGGCTGCCAGCATGTTTGGATATTAACTTAAACTTTATTAAATTAAAACACTACACACTGTAATAATGTATTATCCTTAAGCACATTAGGCATATTAATTGTTGCCAACATTATTTACATTTAAAGAAAAAAGTCTTGACAGTATTATATATGCCTACATCATAAGAATTTGTAAGATAAGGTTTTCTCATTCAAAAAGAGAGGATACTTCATAGGAGGCTTTTCTCAGTGCTCAGTACTCGAAAAAAGCATCAGTAGAAAAAAATTCCTGGGCCCTCACATCCCTAGTGAACTGGGGTACAAGAAAAAAAGTAGTTAGAATAGAATTCTAAGGAAAAGACAGCAAAGAGAAAAAAGGGGCAGTTAACAAAGGGAGGACTAAATAGAGAAGCTTAGAAATAGCTTAAACAGGGCATGAGGACAAAAGAAGTGATGAGTTAAGAGAAGTTAAGAATGCTAGGCAGTAAAGAATGCCAACTAAGAACCAGGATATTTGAAGGAATGAGAACTGAATAGGCAATGGGAGAAAAAGCAGGACCTGAGGAAACAGGCAGAAATATGGAGTCAATGAAGGGAAAGGGCAAATAAAAATTTGGACTGAGGACAAGTTTCACAGTGAAGAACTCAAGAGGTCGCAGGTTGTTGGTAAAAAGGACATGAAGGAATGAGTTCCTTCCTTTCTCTGGAGCTGAGTGGATCATCCTACACATTTTAAAATTTCTGTACAGTACAGGATCCTACCGAGAATAGCTTTATCAGAAACTAACAGCAATATCTGTGAAGTCTCCTTTTTTGTCAATGGCCCTGACTTTTTTTTTTGCCTAATGAAGAGCTCAAAAACCTTGCATAATCCATTATGAACAAATATTGTAAATCACTTTACCTACACAGTTTGTCATTCTCAGGGATCTAGCATAGCAAAGTCTGTTTCTATCACTTTTCTGTGACAGCCAATTTTCTTATCCTCCAGGTCAGTAATTGGAGAGTGAAAGCTCAGATATAGTTATTAGGCATTTATCTCCATTTTTGAATGAGTGAATTATGCTCAGAGGTGATTAAGCACCTGAAAATCATTCTTTTTTCCTTTTTGACAAAGTGTGGTATTTATTATTATAATACTACATATGGATACAGATAGAAAAGAACAGACTACTATGGCTAGAACTAATCTGGTAGGATCATAAACGTAACAGAGGGAGAAGAGATTAGCAGAAGCATTCTGATGAACGAAAATGGGAGGGAGGGAGGCCATGAAGGAGAGATGTAGCAGTGTTTCTTGGGGTAGGTGGGGTAACCAGAGCATCAGTAAAGATTTTAGCAATCAATACACAGAGGAAAAAGTAGAGCTTGAAGTGCTAGAACTTGGTACCCATTTGGCTACAAAGAAAGGAGTGTGTTTAACTTACTACAGATGACAAACCTGTATATAGAATGGCACTGAGATGAGTTTACTCATTGTTACCTACTGTACCCATATAAGTGATCGTGTTCAGTTATAACCTGTTGCTTGTCGTGCTTAATCCCGGTTCCTTACAAATTAGTGAATTTCTATAGCATTAACCACAAACATTTACAATTAGTTATAGATGGTGACCCTTCAGAATTTGTGATAATCTGGGCTCTGAATTCCTCTGTCACTCATAAACATACAACATTGCCATGTCAGCAACAGCAACATGGACAGCCAGTAAAGACTTTTTTATGTTGTCGCTTAGCATCTGGAAATAAAAACATTTTGTGTACATATATACCAGAGACTAAAGTGCTTTGATCACTCTCAGTTCTTGGATGTGCGTGCGTGCGCACTCCTCACTCGTCAAGTTCTTGAAAACATACCTATATTTCGAATAAATTTATATTCCAGGAAAACAGTGAATGTTCTGAACACTTTTGGACAAGCCTTTTATGTAATATGTGTATTTTTAAAAGCATCTGATATCTCTTGCATTCCAACTTTAATTTCTGTTCCCTCTCTTTCATTGCAGCCTCTGTGAATGTCCTAGTGCAGAATTGCAAGATATACAACGATGCCAGTTGTGATATCTCTGCAGATGGGCAGCTCCTGGCAGCATTCATTCCTAGCAGTCAGCGGGGCTTCCCTGATGAAGGAATACTGGCAGTGTATTCTCTTGCACCACACAACTTGGGGGAGATGCTGTACACAAAACGATTTGGTAAGATGGTATCAATGGGCTGAGAGAAATCTGAATTTCATTCACAATCATTCACTCATAAATGCAGCTACAAGGAAATGTTTGCTGGCTATGTATCCAGATAGCATGTAAGGGTATATAATGCTGAGTTTAGAGAGCCATACGGTGTCGCTATAAAGAGCAGTGTAGTGGCGATATGTAGGGTGACAGCTGATCATGGGCAATAGACCTTTCAGGTTCCTAATCAGCTCTAGTAATCTTTTCATGGTGGTTCTTTTCACAAGGATCAGTTGAACAAGACTGATAGTCTGAGTTAACAGACAAGAGGAAAGGTGGGAAACATAGGGTAGGAAATTGTATTCAGTCTCCTAATAGAAAAACCTAATAGAAAAACATGTTGTGTGTTTCATTTCCAGGCCCCAATGCTATTTCTGTGAGCCTGTCCCCAATGGGCAGGTATGTCATGGTAGGATTGGCTTCCCGCCGAATCTTGCTCCACCCTTCCACAGAACACATGGTGGCTCAGGTCTTCAGGCTTCAACAGCCACATGGAGGAGAGACCTCAATGCGGGTAAGTGATAGTTTCTCTGCTCCTCTATTTTTTTGTCTATATCTTGTTTAGCTGTCATATGTTGCTGCCTTTCATTGTCCGATGTCTTAGCTTCACTCTAGCAATGCAAAAGCTTTACAGATAATATATGAAAAGTATATGAATGGCTGCATAAAGTGAACTATTATTAAGATGCATAAAATGGTACTTGAGATGTGCTAGCAGCTAAATGTCTGAGGGCCCTGTCCTGGATGGTCCGTGCTAGCCCGATCTTGTCAGATCTTGGAAGCTAAGCAGGGTCAGCCTTGGTTAGTATTGGGATGGGACACCACCAAGGAACTCCGGTGTTGCCACACAGAGGCAGGCAATGGCAAACCACTTCCGAACATCTCTTGCCTTGAAAACACCATGGGGTTCCCATAAGTTGGCTGCAACTTGATGGCACTTTTTGAGGGAATGTTTTGCTTTTCTTAGGGTAGTGTTCTGTGTGTGTGTGTGTGGGGGGGGTCATGATCTTCCAGTCTAAACCAGGGGGCTGTTTGGCCATGGGCTTAGTGAATGTCCTTGGATAAATCATTTTCTCTCAGTCCTAGTCATCCTTCTATAAAAATGAAATAACACATTGCTAGTGTTTGAGATCATGTCTGGCGTGATGTGCTCCATGGAGTCGCAAAGAGTCGGACTCGACTGTGTGACTGAACAACAAAAAGTGGTTTGAGAAGAATAAAAGGGTAGTTGTGAAGTGCTGTATAAATAATATTTTTTGTTCAAGATACTATCTGCTTTCTGATTCTCTGCTTGTAATCAGTGTTGCCTTCATTGCCAGTAAACTTGGATAGGGAGCACATCATTGTCAGGGAACTGTGTCTCAGTATGATTGCTTCTTGCCCTGAGTGCTTAAGATAAAGGAGGGTGTAAATCTACACTAAAATTCTTGCTGACCAGACCAATTGATTAAACAGGGAATTGTCCAAACTCTCTTTTGACACCGTTCTGTAGCCAATTCTGCAGCCGCCCTGAGCCTGCCTCGAACAAACAAATCGAACAAACAAACAATCATCCTCTACAAGTTTTAAAACTTTGGCCTGGAGATTAGTAAGAGCTCTTAAAAAATAGTCAACAAATCATCGTTTTTGGAAAATTACTTGCTGATAGAAATTGGTCATTCAGATCATTTATAGAAATATTGAAACCAGAACCGAGCCCTGTGGCACTCCACTGAACACCTCCCTCCATGTGATTTATGAGATTTGCTACAATAGGTATCCCTGAATACTTTATAGCAACTTTATAGCATGTAATTGTTCCAGATGTGCTTATTCTTTGCCATTCAGCACATTTTGGTTGCAAGAGTATCAAAGCGATGCCACAGTATAGAATGTTTTGTGTTCTGCTCTTAGTGGAATATCCTTCATATCAAAAGTGCTCTTCTTTATAGGTGAAGTTAGTAATTAGCAGTTGTGTTAATTCTAAACCTGGTCATCTGTAACTCAGAATTCTTATCCATCTTTCCTGTTTTGGCTTATTAATGCTGTTCACCCTTCACAAAAGAGCTTCATGCAATGCACCTCCTTTGTACCTAGGGCCATATTCATGTGAAACAATGTATCATGTGAAACAGACCTTTAATTAGGGTTGCCAACTCTGGGTTGGGAATTTGTGGAGATTTGGGTGTGGAACCTGGGGAGGGGGGGTTGGGGAGCCTTAGCAGGGTATAAAGCCACAGAGTCCACCCTCTCAAGCACTCTGGCTTCAGTCATTGGCCAAAAGGATGCTGGAAAGTCTTCTTTTCCCACCAGGCATAAATGTCATCAAGGGTAAAACCATTTTTAAAATATAAAATTTTAAGTGTATGTAAGTCAGTGATATTCATTCAGTTACTTGTGAGCCACGTATGGCTCTTTGTCATGTCACCTGTGGCTCCTTCTGAACACCATTGCCCAATGTGGCACCTGATCAATGTTCCAGGAAAGTGGGCAAGGCCATTGCCATTAGGGCTTGTGGGTGGCAGGTGGTTCTTACCTTGAAATAGCTGCTGCTAGAGGAACTGGAGGACAGGTAAACTTTGAGCCTCCCTGAGCTGTCGGCCAGATGCCAGGGATGGAAGTGCCCAGACTCTCCCCTCAAAATCCACCCCCCTTTATAGCCTCTGCACTCTCAGCAAACAAGCAGGCTATACGCCACCACCATAGCAAACACGCAGGAAAAGAACAAGCTGACCACAATGAGGTGGTGGATTTATTTCCCCTTTTCCAGAGCCAGCTGTTCCAGCTCTGGGCATCCTGGCAATCTCACTTTCTCATCAGACCGACTGTGCCTTATCTATTATTTTATTTATTTATTTACATTATTTATAGTCTGCCTTTCTCACAGGGAATCAAGGTAAGGTTACATATAGTTTTTGTTGTTCAGTCGCACAGTAGAGTCTGATTCTTTGCGACCCCATGGACCACATTACACCAGGCCCTCCTGTCTTCCGCCGTTCTCCGGAATTTGCTCGATTATGTGTTTGTTGCCTCAATAACACTGTCTAACCATCTCATCCTTTGCTGTCCCATTCTTCTTTTACCTTCAGTCATTCTCATCATCAGGGTCTTCTCCAATGAGTGCTCTCTTCTCATTTGATGGCCAAAGTATTTTTTTTTGTAAATTTTATTTTGTTAAGTACAAAGAAATTACATTACATTCAATCAATCATAGTAGATTAAGCCAAAAGTCATAACCTTTAATTGTTTGAGCTTCAGCTTCAGTACCTGGCCTTCCAGGGAACAGTCAGGGTTGATTTTCTTTAGGGTTGACTGATTTGATCTCCTTGCAGTCCAAGGGACTCTCAAGAGTTTTCTCCAGCACCATAATTCGAAAGTATCTATTCTTCGGTGCTTGGCCTTCCTTATGGTCCAACTCCCGCAGCCATACATTAAAGGTAAAGGTAAAGGTTTCCCTTGCTCAAAAGCTAGTTGTCTCCAACTCTAGGGGGTGGCAGTGCTCATCGTTTCCAAGCCGAAGAGCCAGCATTGTCTGAAGACATTTCTGTGGTCATGTGGCCGGCATGACTAAACGTCTTACTTATGCCCCTGTCTTTGGAAATAAATAAAAGTTAGTGTTCCTCTTCTGTTTCCCTTGTGGGTGCCAAACTTATTTTATTCAGAAGCCATTTGGGTTAAGTCTGTCAGGTAGAGGGTTGGGATAATGACCACACTTGTCAAGCTTTATACCATGTTACTGTTGTTTAAGTAGGAGCTGCGGTGGCTCAAGTGGTTAAGACGCTGAACTGCAGGCTGTGGAAGGTCGGTAGTTCAGCAGTTCGAGACCCGAGTTGCCGCATGACGGAGTGAGCCCCCGTCTCTAGTTCCAGCTCCCGTCCACCTAGCAGTTTGAAAGCAAGAAATTGCAAGTAGATAAATAGGTACCACTTCGGTGGGAAGGTAACAGCGTTCCATGCACCTTGGTGTTTAGTCATGCCGGCCACATGACCACGGAAACGTCTTCGGACAGTGCTGGCTCTTCGGCTTTGAAACGGAGATGAGCACCGCAACCCTAGAGTCGGATTCGACTGGCTTTCGAGCAAGGGAACCTTTACCTTTACCTTACTGCTGTTTAAACATCATTTTTAAAACCCCAACCTTCATACCTACCTCTCAGTGTTGTTGTGCAGATAAATGGGATTGACCCTATGTGCTCCACCCTCACCACTTTGGAGAAAGGTTAGGCTACACATGTGATAAATGATGATATATTAGCAGTACTGCCAGTAATGAGTTATCCATCAGTACGATCATTGGTACCTTTGAGACTCTTGGTAGTTAGGTGTGTAGTTGGTTATTTACAAATGTGTATAATTTTTGCCGGACTTGCATTTCTAACCCATCTTGCACACAGCAGCCCTATTGTCACGTGTAGATTTTAATAGGGAGCAGAAACAATGCACAGAAGCACAAAGCATGCCTGATGTTCCATCTGAGTATTTTGTATTCACACCCAAATACAAAAAGGAACATGTCTCAAGTGTCTGATTGGTTTAAGGCTCTATTTAGGGCTCTGAATTTTAATCATTTTGTTTTAGGGACTCAAAAATAGAGTGTTTGATGTAGGAGGAAGGAGCCTGAAGTATTTCCTCTTGGGGTTCAGTTTTTTTCACTCCTGTTTTCCTGCTATAGTTTCTCTTATTGGCTTTGTCACAATTTTTTCCCTTTGTTGGGGCATTTCTCCTTAGTGTGATTCCAGCCAGTCAGGGATTACATAGAAAACATGATGATGCTGTGATGCCACATAGCCAGTCTGATTTGGTTGTTCCCTTAAGCAAAACTGATTTGGAGAGAAGATTGCACTTGTAGGATTAATCCCATGGATAATTCTAGCCAATCAGGAATGTGATAATTTAGTGGCAAAAAGAGTACTAGTTCCTGAATAGTTCCGTATTTTCATGCCTTTTCACAGTAATTTTGGGAAGGAGACATGCCTTTCAATGCTGATGGTTGTGTTTTGTTTTGTTTTTTTTAAAAAATATCTGTCATTCTTCCCACTGAGTCCTAGTTCTTATCTAGCCCTAGTTCCAAGTCAACTTGGAATACTTTCTAGAATGATGTTTGCAGGACTGATAACAGAAAGGAAGAACATGACTTTTCTATGAACACACTCTTTGTTCTGAATTTGACAGCATTATTCTCAGCCTAAGCTTAGTACTATGTGAGATGCAGGGATCACATGAGCCCAGAGATCCCCCAACATGGCAACCATGAGCACCATGGTGCCCAGTAACACCTTTCCTGGCACCCATCAAGTGTTTTTAGAAAGTGGGTGGGGCCAGATGGGGCTTTTGCCCAGAATGGCTACAGTTGGCCATTGGAGATTTGATTCACTGTGCTGGTTTAAGAAAACAAAAAACACTACTTTGGCAGCAGCTACCACCACAAAACAGGATCTTAAATAATACGTTCATTTAAAAAAGCATCTTGTTAAACGGAGCTTCTGCCTGAAATGTTGAAGAGTTTCTATTCGAGTTACGTATATTCTCACTCCCTGCCATTTTGTGGTTGGCTTCACCTCCTGTGGCAGCCATTTTGTGGTTGTGCCCACCACCCTGTGTCAGACTTCCAAAGAAGCCCTCAGGCTCAAAAAGGTTGGGGAACCCCACATTAGCCTCTTGCATTCTGGTTAACAACTCTTGATTCTATTGTTAA